ATGTTTTTCAGATTAGGGCCCCACGTGGTTTATGTTGCTGGGTTACACAAGACAAAGAACCAGCACCCCAAGCCTGTCTCTTGGGTTCAACCTTCGTGGACAGTGGGCAGTGTCCCCATTCTATAGTCTAATGTGCAATTTCCTTGCTATTCATGATACTTCATCATGGCTTGGATGGCCTTCAGATAAGAGGCTCCCTCTGTGGAAATCGTGATGAGTTAATGATGTGTTTATCAACTTCTCTCAAGGTGGTGGACAATTTGTACCAGATAATGTTTAGTTAATCAGTCCACACAAATTTAATCTTATCACTAAATAGTTTTTTTCCAGGAAGAGCAACTGCTAAAGTGCTTTGCTGTAATTCTAAGCTGTGTTTGTCATTAATGATGACATTAACAAACCTCAAATCAAGGTCTATGGAAAATTAGGCCAATGAAATGTGATGTGCTCTATCTTAACAATAAAATCCCAGATTAAGTCAACTCCTCCCACCTAGGCTTGCTTCATCTGGTTTATTACTGTATCTCTTACTGAGACTCCTTCAGAATGGCCAAGTAGAGAACCACCCCCAGCACAATCAACCAGTCTATCACATGAGGTCAGGCGGGTTCAGGATGGTATGACCATAGACCAATCAGTCTATCTACATGTATGTACATAGACATAAACATAGGGGTGTGTGTGTGTGTGTGTGTGTGTGTGTGTGTGTTCTGCCTGCTAAAAATTTAGACAGGAATGGTAGGTTTCAGCTGCCTCTTTAGCAAACTGTAATGAAAATACTTTTGAAGCAAATTTATCCATCTCTTCCATATTTTACCAGCCTCAAAGATTTCCCCTAACCTTTGCACACTAGCTAGTGTTCACAGGATTCACTGTACGCATTCACTGCTACCTTATGGCAGTAAGAATATAGTGCTTGACTGTCATCACCAGGAGCTGAAATAAACTACTCTAGAGTTGGAGGGAGAGGGTCTTGTTTTTTGTTTTGTTGCCTTTTTAACTCCATAGCCTGATTTCTTTGAGAAGAGCTCTTTTTAAAGTTCTCCTGCCCAGCCTGGTGGACATGTGCTAATGTGTGCAGCTGGCTTTGTGATTTGATATTGTTCTTTGAACCACATGGTGTAGCTGTGGACAGCTGGGAACAGCCAAGCAGGCTACAGTCATGTGGAAAGGTGCATGTGTGCATGATGCATGTGTATGTGTGTGTATGTATGCATGATGCACATGTGTGTATGTGTGCATGACATGCATGTGTATGTGTGAACATATGTGTATATGTATGTGTGCATGTGTGTGAGATATGTGTATGTGTGCATGATGTGTGTATCTGCATGATTGTGTGTATCTGTGCATAATGTATCTGCATGATGCATGTGTGTGTGGATGTGTACATGATGCGTGTGTGTGTATGTATGTGTGATGTAAGGGTGGATTCAAGGCATGGCGAGGTGGAGGAGAAGGAACATTGAGGAAAGACACACTCAGTGGCTCTTGACTCTAAGAGGCGGAGCTGTCATCAGGCTTTGCAATGGCAGCTACAGTTGTGAGAGCCACAAGACGATTTATATGTATACGTGGGAGAAATAGCTCTAGTCTTTCTTTCGTTTTTTGGTGAAGGAGTCTCACTGCGTTGCTCAGGCTGGTCTTGAATTTCTGGGCTCAAGTGATTCTCCCAACTTGACCTTCCTAAGTGCTGGTATTACAGGTGTGAGCTGTCACATGCAGCCATATATTCACTTATTTATTTATATATATTTTTTGAGACGGGCTCACTTTGTTGCCCAGGCTGGAGTGCAGTGGTGTGATCATAGCTCACTGCAGCGTCTGCCTCCTGGGCTTCATTCCAGGTCTTTCAGGTCCAAGCTCAGTACTTGACTACAGTTAACGGCTTTGATAATCAAGTGTCTTTGTCAGTGGTTCTCAAAACGTGGTACCCAGACTGGACTGGCAGCATCAGTGTTACCTGGAAACTTGTTAGAAATGCAAATCTTTGGGCCCACCCCAGACCCATTAAGCCAAAAATTCTGAAGGTGGGGCCCAGCCGTCTGTGTTTTCACAGGCTCTCCAGGTGATTCTGATGCAGGCTCAAGTTTGAGGGCCACTGAGCTATATATTTTGCAGACATATATTTACAACTATGTATGTGTGGGTTTGTATTCTTTCACAGAAAGAGGCAAGAACTTTTACTTTTCCAACGAGAGCAAATCCTTGTTGGGAGTGGCTGTCCCCATTGGTAGATAGTATTGAGGAAGGTGGACGAGACCTGGAAGTCCCCTTGAGTATGCTTTCCACTCAATGCTAATCCGGCTTCCTGCGCGGGTATATTCCAGAGCCATGATTTGGATGTTGACGGGTGCTGTGGGTTGTATATAGTCCAGTGTCAAAATCATCTCATCCTGTGTTTCAAGGCTTTTTTCTTTTTTTTGAGACAGAGTCTAGCTCTATCACCCAGGCTGGAGTGCAGTGGCTCAATCTCGGCTCACTACAGCCCCCTCCTCCCAGGTTCTAGCAATTCTCATGCCTCAGCCTCCCAAGTAGCTGGGATAACAGGTGCACACCTCCATGCCTGGCTAATTTTTGTATTTTTAGTAGAGATGGGGTTTCACCATTTTGGACAGGCTGGTCTCGAACTCCTGACCTCAAGTGATCTGCCCGTTTTGGCCTTCCAAAGTGCTAGGATTATAGGCAGAGCCACTGTGCCCAGCTATGCTGAAGGTTTTATAAACTGCCTTTGGCAAAGAAGGCTGTTGAGAAAGCCTCCTCCAAACGACTTTTGGTTTATCCCTCGTAAGCAATGGCCTACTGAAATGATGACCTTCTTCACACCAGGGTGGGCCACTCCCTGGTACAAACTCTGTACTAGGTGTCTTCCAAACCACAAGAGCGATTTCAACAATTTAGTGCAGCATTGCACCATGAGACAGGACAGAAGTGCATTGGCAAGGGTGGACCTGTGGCCAAGTCAGGGTGACCTTGGGAGTGAGGTCACTGGGGGAGTGGGAGGTGAGCTTGGGACTTGAGAGATCAAGCTGTGTGTAGATTAAGGAATTCAGGTGTGGTCCCCCAAATGCATAGGATTCACATTCTTATGTGTATAAGGTAAAGGGGTAGGCAGATAGAGTACCTGTGTGTGTATGTGGGTAATTACATGTATAGCACTGTCTTTGTTAACTCCTAACTTGTTAGCCATGCATAAAAGGCCTGTGGCGCTAACCTACCTTTCCAAGGTGGTTTTCTCTTAGCTTTCTCATATATGCTTCATGCAAGCCAAACTGTGTGACTAGCTGGGCTTTTGAGACATCCAAGCTGGACCATACCACAACCATGTATCATCACGCTTTTCCCTCCCTCACCCAAACTCACTCTCCCTCCTCCTCCTCTTATTTCCTGAGGCTTAATTCAAACAGGACCTTCTCCATGAAGCCTGCTGTGACCCCTCCACAGTTCCCCAGGGGAGATCATCCCTCCAGCTCTGTAACCTCACATCACTTCACACCTCTCTTAGTGTTTATCAACCTTACATGATAATAACTACGGCTCTTTTCTGGGTTTCTCCTTAGTTCATGAGCTTTTCGATGGCATTCTCCATTTCTTATCCCTGTGTCCAAGGTACCCAGCCACTGCTTGGTGTTCAGTATATTTGTCCTGTGAGTTAATAGCTGCCACATCACACAGTATGCTTACACTCAAAAGACAAAAAATATATATAAAAAGCTGTGGAAACAACTTGATGGTTCCTCAAAACGCTGACCATAGGATTACCGTGTAACCCACCAATTCCACTCTCAGGTGTATACCAAAATAATTAAAAACGGCTATTCAAACAAACACTTGTACACAGGCATTTACAGCAATACCAGTCACAATAGCCAAAAAGTGGAAATAGCCCAAATGCCTATCAGTGGGTGAATGGATAAACAGAAGTGTGGTATATCCATACAATGGAATATCATTCAACAATGAAAAGGAATGAAGTGGCAGAGTTCAGTGGCTCATGCCTGTAATCCCAGCATTTTGGGAGGCTGAGGCAGGAGGATCACTTGAGGCCAGGAGTTGGGCAACACAGGGAGACTCTCTCTCTACAGAAAATAAAAAATATTGGCTGGGCATCGTGGTGCACACCTATCATCCTAGCTACTCAGGAGGCTGAGGTGAGAGGATCACTTGAGCCCAGGAGGTCGAGGCTGCAGTGAGCTATGATCACGTGCCACTGCACTCCAGCCTAGGTGACAGAGTGAGACCTTGTCTCAGATAAAATAAGTGTATCGATGCATGCTATAACATAAATGAAACTTGAAAACATTATGCAAAGTAGAAGCCAGACATAAAGTCACATATGATTGTGTTTATATGAAATATCCAGAATAGATAAATCCATAGAGGCAGAAAGCAGATTATTGGTTACTAGGGGCTGGGAGGAGAGAGAAATGGGGAGGGACCACTTAATGGATGTAGGATCTCCTTTTGGGGTGATGAAAATGTTTCAAAACTAGATAGCAGGGTAGTTGCACAGCACTGTGAATGTACCAAATGCCACAGAAACGTTCACCTTTAAATAGTTAATTTTAGTTATTTCTTTCTTTATTTTTTTTTGAGATGGAGTTTTGCTGTTGTTACCCAGACTGGAGTGCAATGGCGCGATCTTGGCTCACCGCAACCTCCGCCTTCTGGGTTCAAGCAATTCTCCTGCCTCAGCCTCCCAAGTAGCTGGGACTACAGGCATGCACCACCATGCCCAGCTAATTTTTGAATTTTTAGTAGAAACGGGGTTTCACCTTGTTGACCAGGATTGTAAATTTTCTCTCAGTTAAAAAAAATAGTCAATGGTATAAAAGTATTCCCCTTTCACTTTAGAGAAACTGAACTGATTTTTATGGAATGATGTAATATTTTATCCCAAATATCATCACATCCTAGGATAGATTAAGTATTGGTTTTATTTTCATGGCAATTCCTTCCCCACTCCCAAATCACCCTGCCAAGGGCCTGCCACTACTCACCTGGTAGCATCAGGTCTCACCAAATGCAAGCACAGCTCCCCGCTTAAAGCAGGATCCACTTTTCAGCTTCCTGTTCCTGTGTCCAGGTGCCCCAGAGAAGAAGCCAGCACTCAGGTTCCATGGCTGGTGTTGCAGAGCCCATTGACAAGGATGGGTTTTTTCTGTCTTTTAGCCAAGGTGTCCTGCTGGCAAAAACTGACTTTTTCTTTGTTATCCTGGAAGATATTCCTTTGTTTCTAGTAGATAGGTCCAGTGCTTTCTTGGACGCCCTGTCCCCGTTTTCCACTCACTCCTGCTTGTATTCTCAGTTCATAGGCTGAAGCCGGCTGACATCAGCATCATTGGGGCCCTGGGTGACTCTCTCACAGTAAGTGACCCTGATGCAGAAGGGGCAGGAGGGGAAAAGATCTTGAGTAATATGAGAACCTGGAGAGGAAAGTGGAGAGAGGAGTTCTCACTGCTGGCTCTCACAGTTGCCATCTCAGCTCCTGATCTCCAGCTCCTCTCCATTGCCCGCGCCCCCCGCCCCCAGCATTCAGCAGCATTCCCTAACCATCATGGATTCCCACCTCCATTCTGGTCTCATCTTCCTCCCACAATGCCAAGATGGAGAGAGCAGGAAGTGGAGGGACCCCAGGGGGAATGTGGGTGACAGGAGTTACCCACCCCAAGTCACACAGCTGGTCAGTAGTGGGCAGCATTGGACAAGGTCTCCAGATCATGGTGTAGAACTCATTCAAGGACCCAGCACTTTGTTTCGTCCACGTAAAAAAGCTAAGGGAAGGTACCAAAAAGAGGGGCGAAGAGATGTTGAGATAGGAGCAAGTGCTAACGGGGAGGGAGGTGGGGGAGGGTGAGCAGACAGGAGTCTGTGGAAGAGGTGGGTAGCCCAGAGATGCTCCAAATCCCCCTCTGCATCTGCCCCATGGTAACACCCCAGACCCTGCAAAGCACTATCCACGAAAAGCAGAACCAGGCCCTTTAAGAGCCTGGGGACTAGGGGTCCCGGAGCTTTCTAGACACAGCTTCCATTCAGTAGCCACTCATCAGAGTCCAGGTGCTATTCCCTGGGCCAGTAGAATACAGGGTCTCCAGCTGAATCCTCCCCTAGAATGAGCAGACACCTCTCATGTCTATGGCCTGTCACAGTAATGCCATCCCACACAGTGGGGTATGACTTTCTTTAAATTCAACCAGTAAAGGCTGGGCCCATGGCTCACATCTATAATCCCAGCACTTTAGGAGGCCAGGGTGGGAGGATCACTTGAGGCCAAGAGGTTGAGAACAGCCTGGGCAATATAGTAAGACTCCATCTTTACAAAAATGAAAAAAAAAAAAAAAAGAGCTGGGCATAGTGGCTTATATCTGTAATCCCAGTGCTTTAGAAGTCCAGGGCAGAAGGAGGCCAGGAGGTCAAGTGAGCCTGGGCAACATAGCAAGACCCCATCTCAAAGAAAGAAAGAAAGAAAAAACTAACCAAGCATGGTGGTGAATGCCTATAGTCCCAGCTACTCGAAAGGCTGGGGCTAGAAGATCACTGGAGCCTAGGATTTCAAGACCGCAGTGAGCCACAATGGTGCCACTGCACTCCAGGCTGGGCAACAGAGCAAGGCCCTGTCTCTAAATAAATAAATAAGGTGAATGAAGCTGGGCAAGGTGAAGTGGCTAAGGCCACACAGCTTATAAGTGCTTAAGCCAGGATCAGAACCCAGGGATCCTTACCCTGAGTCCGGGACCCTGTCCCTGTGCTCTGGCAGCCTCCTCCATGGCCCCTCTGCCACTCTTCACCCCAAAGGCCTGGCTGTTCATAACCTCCCAGGAAGGGCTGGCGGGCTGGGTGTTAGCAGCTTATACATGGCTTATCACCAGGCCTGACATCACCTCCTCTGAATTCCCTGGTCTCCTTGAAGATACTCTCAGAACAAGGGGTCATCACATCTCAGCACAGCTGCTCAGGAATTCCTAGGGAGGTAGCACTTTGGGTATGAACCTGCCTGGCAGGTAGCAAAGGAACTGGGCATCAGAGAGCAGGGATCACACCTGGGCGGCCTCTCGTGGAGGCTAGCCTTCACCCACCACTGCCTGAGAGGCTGGTCTCAGCATGCCCTTCAAAGTGCTCTGCTCAGAAACAGTGTGCTTTAGGCAAGGGGCACACACCTGGAGAGTGCCCACATTATGCTTTCTCCAGCTGATGGTGGGCACGTGGGGTTTCATATTATTACTACATTTTAAGCTGTGCATAGGTGAGATATATTGATATAAAACGATAATGATATATTTCCTTTTATAATATACTTCATAACTTTTTTAAAAATGAGAAAAACAGGACCCTGAAATGTATCCTTTTGAGAAGTTACAGTCTAATTTCAAAAGCACTTTTGCTAGACAAGTTTCGCTTGGTCTTGGTCTAGGCAGGGTTTCTTAGAATGAAGCAGAGCTGTGAATGGCATCAGGTGTTCCTGGGGGGCGCTTTTCTGAAAAGGTAGGATGCATTGGAGACTTGGTGCCGTCTAGATCCCAGATCCTAGAGAGGGCCCAGGCAGTCCCAGCTGGTGTAAGAACATAGACTTTCTGACAGGCAGGCCGAGGGGGGCCGCTGGGGAAAGCAGAGAAACTCACCCCCTTGTTGTTCTCTCTCAGGCAGGCAATGGAGCTGGGTCCAGACCTGGAAATGTGTTGGACGTCTTGATTCAGTACCGAGGCCTGTCCTGGAGGTGAGAGAGGGTGTGGCAAGGCCCCAAAGACCCCTTCATTGCTGGGCAAGGGAAACCCCCTGAGCACCCTAGAAAACAGTGCCTTAAGCAGAGGGATGGGCTGCTTTGTTCTTTACTATGACAAACTTCTAGGTTTCATTTGAAAAAGATATTCACCAGCCTCCTCAAACCACTACATTGCCCAAAACAGTAGCTGAGCTCTGAGCCAGGAGTCTGGGAGAGAAACTATATGAATGGGTTGGAAATGCTTCTCTGGCTTCCATTTCTCCCTCTGTGATGTGATCTCAGAAGGAGGCAGTGGCCTGAGTGATGCACAGATCCTTGCCTTTGGAACCAGAGTTGTAACGAGCCTTAGCTGCCCAGCTGTATGCCCAGCTTCTCTCTTCATGTCTGATGCAGAAATAACGTTACTACCTAAGCACTGTCTGAGGACTAGAAAGAATTTAAGTGGCCAGCACAGTGCTTGACACAAAGTAAGTAGCTGGTAGCTGGCATTGTTATTATAGGGCCTTTATTTGGCAGATGAGGAAACAAGGCTCAGAGAGGGCAAGTAACCTGACCAAGATCACACAGCCAGAAGATCACAAAGCAGAGCAGATGTTTCCTGGCCCCTACCAGTGCATTCCCTTATCATGTCTCGCTTTGGGCAGGCTTATTTCTGCTCTGCATGTGAGCAAACCTCTGCTGCAAGCCCGGACAGGTTTGGTGTTTCCACACCTGGAATCTGGCATCTCCATCTGACACCTGCTTTAACCTGAGTGCCGAGTCTCTGGCATCCTTCCTCATGCTGCTGCACAGTTAAAACCCAAACATTTGGGAAACCTTTTAGATGCTCCTAGACACGCTTGTGGAAAAGCAGGGAATCCAGTCCACTCTGGAATGCTGCATAGTTTCATGCCTAGAGACCCATCTAACTTTGATCACCTTGGAATGTTCGTATTGGTTTGGAAGTCGGCTGACTCTCTAGAAGACACCTTTTAAAAACGGCTTTTCCAAGCCAAACAGGAAAAGAAAAAAGAATAAATAGAGCAACTTTAAAAAAACGACATTTACACCAATAATAATAACGCCCGCTGCAGTGACTAGCTGGAAAGGGACTGGCAGAAGAGGGACTACTTCCCCTTTGAAAGCCGGGGTGCAAGGAACCAACCTAGCTCCCCCGCACCAACATCTGCAAAAATCATCCCTGGCATAAAGCTGGCTTTTTGTTTGGCTGTTCTGGCCTATGGGGAGGGGAGTCGTATTTTGGTTTGCTTTTCCGCTTTTCTACTGAACTGATGGGGAGAAGGGCAAGCTCCAAGGCCCCAGGCTGTTTCTCCGGAGACGGGCGTTTCTGCTACTGTCTGAAGGGTCTCGGTATGGCTGGCATTTTAACCTTTCGTTTTCTTTCTTGGGCCCACGATACAGCGTCGGCGGAGATGAGAGCATCAGCACCGTCACCACCCTGGCGAGTGAGTACACGGCGGCGGCCGAGCGGGCAGTTTGGTTTGGGGCGAGCCCTGCGCGCTTCCCGCTCCCCCTGCAGGTGGCGTGGGCCTCGGGAGGAGCCCTGGCTGCGGGAGCGCGCTAAACACAGCAGGGGGCGCTGCCTCCCGAGACTGCCGCCCCGCTTAGCTCGGGTGATGAAAATCTTGAAGTTGCGGGCGGAGCGGGGGTTTGGGGCGGGGCCCGGGGGCGGGGAAGTGTCAAAAAGACACTGTCTTTACCAAGGAAGGAAGAAAGTAAAGCATGGGGGAGAAAAGAGCTCAGATCACATCTTAGTGCAAGTCATTAAAAAGTGATCCAGTAATCTGGTATGAGATTAGCGAAAATAAAGAAAAGTGATTCAAGAAAGAAGAAAACCCTGGTCTACGGCGCCTGCGTTTCCGAGCAGATCGCTCTTGGGAGAGGCGTCGATCCAGGCACCTGGGCTGCAGGCACCGCTGCGCGTAGACATTGAATTGCGGGGTTGCTGTAGGAACCACTGCTTTTGCCGCAGGAGGCGATGAAGTTACCGTGTGCAGGCTGTGCGGACGCAGACATCTTTGGAGCTCAACACTTTCCTTAATTTACTTCTCTACCAACCTGCTCGGAATGCTTTTTTTTATTTAGGCAGAGTCTCGCTCTGTTGCCAGGCTGGAGGCTGGAGTGCCGTGGTGTGATCTCGGCTCACTGCAACCTCTGCCTACCGGGTTCAAGCGATTCTCCTGCCTCAGCCTCCCGAGTAGCTGGGATTACAGGTGTGCGCCACTGCACCCGGCTAATTTTTGCAATTTTAGTAGAGACGGCGTTTCACCATTTTGGCCAGGATTGTCTTGATCTCCTGACCTCGTGGATGGATCTGCCCGCCTCGGACTCCCAGAGTGCTGGAACTACAGGCGGAATGATTTTTTAAAGCCTGACTATATTCTTGTTTTAAATTCTCCCCAGTGCATACACATCGTGCTTGTTCTTAAAGTACGCAAGTGTTTAAACTGAACTCTTCTCCTGGAATCTTCTGGCTGATAATTTTGCCTGAGAGGTATTTGATTGGTCCCATTCTCGTTTACCTTCCTGGTACATATCCCTTTGTAATACAGCTTTCGAAACTAACAACTTGAACTGGAAGCCACCAAGACCTGGATGATGGGGACATCATAGCTTAATCTCCACACAGGCAGAGCTGAGCTGGGCAGACTTCACTTACCTGTTTCGGTTATTTGTAATCCTGTTGAATTTACGTAGACGCAGTTCTGTGCCACAGGCACTCATTGTCTTCGTTACATCTAGATCTACCCATGTGAGTTATAAGTCAGTTCCTCTATTGCTAGGAGATGGTTCAGGGTGCTTCTGCGAGTGCGATTAACTTGGCTGTGGGATGGCCCAATTTATACAACAGCTTTCTGGGCTCTCTAATTCCCATGCTCGTATCGTGGACACGATGATTGGGTATAGTTCACCTCTTTTACCAAAGTAACTTACAAAGAACTGAGGCTTTGTTACCCCTCAGGTGGATGATTCCCCAGAAATGGAATAGCAGCCGTTTAGATTCTTCTTGCTAGAGATGTGAAGACTATTTGATTGTAGGGGGAAATAACTATATGGAAATGTGTTAGAAAACTCATAAGAATGTAAGGGCAGAACAGAATCCCTGTTCAACCCCCTGTTCAATTTAATTCAGCAAATACTCCAGTGCTGATGCTTGGGAAATAGGAGAACAGTGTCCCGATGACATCACCCAAGTCTCTTTGGCTGCATGTCTTCCTAAAGATGGACATATGACTAACGTTTATAGATATGTACAAAGCTTAGGGGAAAATAAACATAGAGTCTGTTGACCCTATCTTCTGAAAAGGAGCTTCAAGAATTAGAATTCAGGTAAGGAAAGGGGAGAGAATGCTCCTGGCAGAGATGTCTGCCTGAGCCAGCAAGCTGCTGCCCTATCCAATGTGCATTTCCTCCCTGTGACATTCCTGCTAAGTAGCTGGGTAGGCTGTGCTGAGTTTCGTCTACCTCCTAGGGAACCTGCCACCTCCTAGGACAAACCATTCCACTTTCAAATCGCTCGGTTGATTTCACAGTTCTTCCACTGAGTAGAAATCGGAGCAATTTCCATTTGTTAGCATCATGTCCCCAAAGCCTGAAGGAATAAGTCCAGTCCATCTGTGTGGTAAACCCGCAGCAGAGCTGGGTTCTAGAAGCACTCCGCTGGATGCCATGGAGCCCTTAAGTCCTGGTTGCTACCCGGCCACTTTCTTTCTCACATCCTAGTGGACTGTGAGACGGGGGGCAAGCATCCCATGTTGGAGCTGAGAAATCAGCCATCCTCAGCATCTACATGACTTTGAACAATTCTCCAAGCTTGTGTGGACTTTGTTTTATTTCTAATTCAGTCCATAAACATTTATTGAGCATTTTATGAGGCCCTGGGGTATACATAGACCCTGCTCTCAGGAGGGCTCAGTCAAGTTGGAAGGATGAAAAAGTGAAAAGTGTGGATCCAGTTGAGTAAAGGCAATTAGAATGCATGAGATTGCAAAGTTCATCAAACCGACAAAACTTTAACTAGACTGGCAAAGGGAGGAGGACTCAAAATCAACAATGAAAGAGGAGATGCTTCCAACCATACGGAAATAAAAAGGATTATAAGAGAATAGTATGAACAATTGTATGCCAATAAATCAGATAACTTAGATGAAAAGGACAAATTCCTCAAAAGGCACAAACTACGAAATTGACTCAATTAAAAGTAGAAAATATGAATGGATTTATAACAAGCAAAGAGATTGAATTAATACTTTTAAAGCTTCCAACCAAAAAAAACAAAGACTTTTTCTGGCCTCACTGGTGAATTCTTTCAAACATTGGTATCAATTACCAGTTCTTCACAAACTCCTCTCAAAAACAGAAGAGGAAGGAATACTTCACAACTCATTCTGTGAGTTTTACCCTGATAGCAAAATAAGACAAAGTCATCACAAGGGAAGAAACCTATGACCAGTAATATTATGGATGTAGACCCAGAAATCCAATGCAAAAAACTGGCAAACAAAATCCGCAATGTAAAACAGTTATACCTCACGACTAAGTGGAATTCGCCCAGGAATACATGGTTACTTTTAAACCTCAAAATCAATTAATGTAATATTCTATGTCAGTAGGCTAAAAGACAAAAACCACATATCATGATCATCTCAATGGATCAGAAAAGGTATTCAGCAAACATCTGACACCACTTCACAATAGAAACACTCAACAAAGGTTGGGCGCAGTGGCTCACGCCTGTAATCCCAGCACTTTGTGAGGCCTAGGTGGGCAGATCACTTGAGGTCAGAAGTTCAAGACCAGCCTGGCCAACATGGTGAAACCCCATCTCCACTAAAAACACAAAAATTAGCCAGGTGTGGTGGTGGGTGCCTGTAGTCTCAGCTACTTGGGAGGCTGAGGCACAAGAATCTCTTGAACTTGGGAGCCAGCGGTTGCAGTGAGCCGAGATTATGCCACTTCACTCCACCCTGGGCAACAGAGTAAGACTCTGTCTCAAACAAAAGAAAAAAATTTGAAAAAACACTCAACAAATTAGGAATAGAAGGAAAATTCCTCACTCTGATAAAGGGTATCTTCTAAAAGCCCACAGATGACATTGTAGGCAATGGAGAAAGATGGAATGCTGTCCCCTCTCTCTGGTTTCAGAAATAAGACAAGGATGCACGCTCTTGCCACTTTCATTCAATATCATACTGGCCATAGCAGTTAGGCAAGAAAATGAAAGAACAAGTACCATGACTGGAAATAAAGAAACCACTTCTATTTAAAGATGATGTGATACCATACAGAGACTATCCCAAGAAATCCACTAAAAAAATTAGCGCTAATAAATGAGTTCAGTGATTGCAAGGTACAAAGCAATATATAAAAATCAATTATAATTCTTTATACTAGCAGTTAGTACTGCTAAAATTCTAAAATGAAATGAACAATTCCATTTATGATAGTATCAAAAATAATAAAATACTTAGGAATAAATTTAACCAAAAAAGCATCTGTTTTACTCTTAAGATCACAAAACATTGCTGAAAGAAATTAAAGACCTAAATAAATAGGAAAACATTTGATGTTCATGGATCGGAAGATTTAATATTCTTAAAATAATACTCCCCAAATCAATCTACAGATTCAACGTGATCCCTATCAAAACTCCAGCTAGCGCCTTTGCAGAAATTTGCAAACTGACCCTAAAATTCATGTGGAAATTTAAGGGACTCAGAATATCCCAAGAAATCTGTAAAAAGGACAAATTTGGAGGATTCATACTTCCCAATTTCAAAACTTACTGTTATAAAGCTATAGTAATCAAGATATGTGGTACTAGCTTAAGGACAGACATATCAACCAATGGACTAAGATTGAGAGAAATTAAACTCTCATTTTCATGGTTGACTCATTCTCAGCAAGGATGCCGAAACTACTCAATGGGGAAAGAGTAGTCTTTTCAATAAATTGTGCTGAGACAACTAGGAAGTTACATGCAAAAAAATGAGGTTGGGCTCCTA